ACTCTTCGCGACCCCATGGACTAGATCCCGCCAGGCCCTCCTGTCTTCCGCCGTCCTCTGAAGTTGGCTCAACTTCATGTTCGTTGCATCTATGACACTGTCTCACCATCTCATCCTTTGCCGTCCCCGTCTTCTTTGACCTTCAGTCTTTCCCAGCATCGGGGTCTTCTCCAGTGAGTGCTCCCTTCTCATTGGGTGGCCAAAGTATTTGAGCTTCAGTTTCATTATCTGGCCTTCCAGGGAACAGTCAGGGTTGATGTCTTTTAGGATTGACTGATTTTATCTTCTTGCAGTCCAAGAAAGTAGCAGAATACAAGTAGAACTTAATGATGCCCTTTCCCAACCGTTTTAGATAGAACGTTTATATAATTTTTAGTGTACCGTTAAAACAATAACAAAAATGTTATGTCATTTGTTAGCATTCAGTTTACTTGAATTCAAATTTGTATCTTGGTTTAATTTTTGGTGCAATTTGCAAAGCAGACGTTCGCTGCAGTTAATGTTGAAAAAAGCTGATATTACATCTCTTTGACAAATATTTCTGCAGTTGAGACTTGTGTAGTTGTAGAGTGGAACCTTACCTTGCGTTAATGCAATATGACCAGTGTTCCCTCTAAGCTAAGCTAGTGTGAGCGAGCTAAGCTTTTTAGCCTCCGGCTTGCACATTCTTGTCTTAGCTCAGAAAAGGAGGGCTCCGGAGCAAACTAATTTATGCAGCAGCCAAATCGCTCGCTCACAACTTTCATGCCAGGAGCTCACGAAGTAGAATTTTTGCTCACAGGACTCCACGGCTTAGAGAGAGCATTGACCTATTCAATTTTTTAAGTTGTGGTTATAGTTGAATGGTGGTCAGGACAATTGACAAATGTTGGTCAGGGAAAGTCAGGGAAATAAAAAATAAAATTTTAGTGGCAACCAATGTTCCCTCTAAGCTGTAGAATCTTGTGAGCAGAAATTCTACTTTGTGAGCCACTGGAATTGAAGCTGTGGGCGAGCGATTCGGCTCACTCCACGGCTTAGAGGGAGCACTGACCTGTTCATTTTTTTAACTTGTGGTTATATTTGAATGGTGGTCAGGAAAATTGACAAATGTTGGTCAGGGAAAGTCAGGGAAATAAAAAAATAAAATTGATTGGGAAGGGGCCAAACTGGTTTCGTTCCCAGTCTCCTGCTAGGGACACGTGTAAACCTATGTCATTGCACTTTCTTGCCTCAGGTGGGTGTTCGGACAGCTGTCCAGCCAACACAAACGCTTTTCTTTGTCGTGCGCGAAAACATCAAAGACGCCCCCACGCACACTCGGGACCCTAACACGGCCGAGCAAAGAGCACCTGCATTGTTTTGAAAGCCGCCTTGCTGGACCGCCCCTCGATATCTGTGGTTAACTGCTTATCGTGTAGTAAGAGTGAG